TTTTTTTTGAGAGTTTCTGCTAGTGGCAATTAGGGAAATATCAAGTTTCTTGCTCCCAGGGTGTAAACCTAGCCGAGAACACATGCGGTATTTTCATCGGCGCCGGATCAGCAGATTCTGAAGGTGCTTGGAGCCGAGCCAGTGACTGCAGTAGTATATTTGGGTGAGTATGAGCTTCTAGCATATTTGTAAGCCCTCCTACAATATACCGATCCTTCCAGACGGGATCAACTCCTACGCATATGTGATACTGTATGCGCGTCACAGCTTGACAGAAGGGGCGCTCTGAAGATTCAGGTGAGTCGGTTGGCGGGGTCGGGTACAACTTGATCTAGTTTATTTTAAGTTCACAACTTCTTAGTTGACTCCAATTCAGCTCTCAGTACTCTGTGGTGATCCGCTTTCTCTTGAAACTTTGTTGGTAGCGGTTCTTGGGGTAGAAAGTGAGGCGTTACGAGCTATCCGTGATCCTAGTCAAATCGGAGGTGAGCTAACATCAGCCGAGCCTTTCTCATGAGCCATTTTCATGAATTTCGCTTCCAGCTGGTATTATTCCGATAGATGTAAATTGGAACTCGCAACGATTTGCTGTCGATCTACATCTTGGAGCCTACCATTCATGGCTTACGGCCAAGACGGCTAGCTCTACTCACGGTCACATTGTCGTCTACTCTGCAAGGTTAGTCAGTCAACATTCTACTGGATTTTTCCTCTCTATAAAGGATCTACTGTTACTTTGAAGCCAATTGCAACATACGAGTAGTTTGAGGATCAAATCCTATATGGAAAACTTCCAGCCAACAAGTCTATTTACCCGCTGGGTCGGCAGATAGTATCAGGCTTGTCTGGGAGCTTCAAAGCACTGACTTCTACATTGGGTGGATACAGCAAGTCGTTTTATAGGCCTCAGAGGCACTCGAATTGCCACCATGTTCCTGAGCTGAAGTCGAATCAGGGGTGCATTCTGAACAAACATGGACCGACTGTGTCCACGAAAAGCGAACAGCACCTTCAACAAATGAAAGAGGGTTGACTACACCCGGAAGCTGTTATTCTTCTCCTTTGTGAACAATGTCCTTCTACGAGGTCTGACTGAAATTTCTAGAACTCGCCATTTGCCGATAAGCAGAGAATAGTATGCTCAGCGCCAGGTAGAATCCCTGAAGGTCCAATTTCAAATTCCGTCCAGATGGCCTATTTTTAACGGGGAATCGATCATTAATGAAGTATGGGTTCTATTCATACAAGGCTGTGTCCAGTTATCGAACAAACATGGGCTAGACTGTATCTATTAATGGTGAACAGCACCTTCAACAGCTGCGAAACCTTGCCGGAAATGATTTCGTACAAAGGTTGCGTATATATCCGGGGACACTTCTGGCCTTGTGGGGGAGCAACTTCCATTTGAAGAGCTTTTTCAAGAGTTCTTATCCAACTAATGTAAGGGTAACCATGTTCGCACTATGTGATTAAACATTAGAATTCAGCTATTGTGGTAATGAGCTTTATACTGTACTGGGTACTCCCATTGAAAGGCTGCTAAAAAGGGTGCTGAACGAATTGATTCCCACAATGAATGATGTCTTAATTCCAGAAGGGCAGCTTCGTTTGCTCATGCTCGTGCTGCAGTGTCCCGAGTCCTCGATGATGGTTGTCGAACGCTCACTGGAAAAGCGATTCTTTTGGTTGCGGTAGCTGAATTGCAAGATTATTTCAGCGATGAGGTGGGTTCGCACTTTGCTTTTTACTAATTACTGCCATTGTGAAGACGAATATATCAGGAAAAAATCTGCCAGAGGATCCCACATTTCATTGGGTTGATCCTCTTCAAACTCGTCCCAAGCACTCCCATTCCCGTATCAGTTAACTGCGGTGGGTCAGTGGGTGTTGTTGGACTTGTAGAAGAGCTTTGTGGTAGAGCCGCGTTGG